TTGTAGTTCAAGTTCACATTAATTTTTAACTTACATGTAATTTGACAACGAAAAACCAATCAGTGAGACTTATGTTATATTTTATTGAAACACCGGCTATTAATGGACTTAAGACTTCCTACCCCACGATAACTAAGAAATGTGCTACACCACTCTAAGTCCTCCAGAAACATACAGCGTATCTATCCATCTGTATATATATTTCTGGGTGTTTTTTAATTCGAAAAGCAAGTATACATTATATTTAAGATGAGTGTCTATCCTTGTGTCTCAGTGTGGATCTGATTTTGGCACCACAAAGAATAAAGAATTTTAATATCGCTTAATTTTCAATAAATGTGCGCTTTAACATCAGTCATGGCTTTTTCAACAGTCAATGGTTTTTTGACAACCTCTCTACTCATAACAATAAGTGAGTGACATCTCTGATATATTTTTGCATCGTTTCTGCATTTTCGAATCTTATTGTAGACAAGGAAGGCCACAAGGTTGCAAATTGGAGAAGAACATACTTGTTTTAGGACATCACTTTTTTTTATTCAAATTTATTATATCACTTGCGGTACCCGTGGAAATACAAAGCAAAAAGCATACTTGTAGGCTACTTATAGTTAAGCCGACATGTGAGAAGAGTCTCCTTGAAAATTGCAGATCACCGTGGAAAAAGCAATACGAAAATCCATCTTAATTAAATAGGCGACTGGGGATTTTACCGACTTCAGTAGATGTTGCATAGTAATTATCCTTTTCTTTTCAACGAATAGTTGGCGTGGTAGATCTGCGTACCGTGTTCTGGCTTCATAAAGAACAAATCTACTTCAATATCGTTTACGTTATTTGTAATTCAAGTTCACATTAACTTTTAGCTCATATGCAATTTTCCAAGGCAAAGCCAATCAATGAGACTTAGGTTATATTTTATTGCACACCTGCTATTATGGACTTAAGACTTCCCACTTCACATAACTAAAAAGTGTGCTACACCATTTTAAGTCCTCAAAAAACATACAGTGTATTTGCCCAGCTCTATATGTATTTATTTTATGTTATATGTTATATTTTATTGACACACCTGCTACTACAGGTCAGTATTTTTAGAATGCAACTCGGCGGAAGCGAACACCTTTAATACAACTCTATGTGAGGCTGGCAAGAGAGTTAAAAGATATCATCAAAATATTTAATAGTGTTACGGTATTTTCACAACCGACAGAAAGATACAACTCGTACCAACTCAACTACTTTGTTAACTGACGTAATAATCTTACAACGGAGCGATACCAATAACCAATAAAATAACTATTTCCTCTTATCCTAAAGCCTTCTATAAAACTATAATCTCAGTGCACTACTGCACAGCTCACAGTTCTCTTCAATGATCCTCGTAGCTTATCGATGTCTACAAAACTTTTCTCAAGGTAGCTTTTCACACGGCTGACGATTCCAGTAATGGTAAATAAATCCAACGATTCTCTCTATCCGGTTCTGTAACAACACTAGCTCCTCTGGGCTCTTCACGACAGCACTAACTCACTGAAAAAAAGGTCTAACTTTAACCGATCGCGACTCCTTATAAATGTTTTACAAAATGTTCCAGAATATTCTTGGGATCTGTAAGACAACTATTTTTAGTATCATTACATCACTATTGCATCATAACAAAATATGCTAACTTAGGGTTCTAGAAAGTTCTATTTAGAGTTTTTAATGAGTCAGCATGACTAAGCGTTTCAGAAACTTTCTAAGTTCTATTTTTAGCAATTCCGTAACGCAACGCTTTCTAGATAATATACGGGCACTCTCCATAACAATAGGCATCACTCAAACAAAGACGTCCTGCTTTCACCAGGCAATTGCTCTCTGACGGAACAATAGGTGAGGACACTGAAGAACTGAAAACTTGCAAATAATAGAGAGCATATCCGTTAGGAGATGTCACTTTTGTCATTGAAATGACACAGTGAACAGAGTAACTCATATCGTGTCAGCTAACTCCCTAGAGATGGTCACCAAACACAATGGATGATGTCGCTAATAACTGTTCGCATAATTCCATTCAACCCCCTTATCTAGTGATGTACATGCTTTACTTACCCTGAAAAAGCATTATTGCTACAAATATATAATACAACACATTTTCTTATAGCGTTGTTTATCCTAGGACGCTGCAACAAAGCGCAAACCAGAGGGTTAAAGGCGGGGGCTGATAAACAATTGTTCTTAATCGTTTTTAACTAGACCACAAAAAAGGAAGGCTTAATTCATGGCAACGCAGAGTACGCCCCTGTCATAATAAAGTACATTTGTGTGATGGATGACTGGACTGGCTAGAAATTTCTTTTCGGTAACCTTTGCATGCCAACAGCCTCTGACAGGCTTATTGTCATGGGGCTATGGTTCCTAAGAGTCCACATGATTTATTGATATTTAACTTTTCGTTCACTGAGATGGCAACTAACCAATAATTAAGGGTACTTTTCACCTTCAGATGCCGAAGAAAACATTTTTTCTTTTATTTGACTAAATTGAGGTTAAACATTTTACCTAACGCTTCCAAAAAATATATTAGAATCTGGAAAAGCGTCCAAGTTATTTAGAAAAACGTATTTTCAAATAAAAGTCGATAAATCAGGAAGGTGTCATAACCGTGTACCTGGGCGAGCTCCTCCCAGGGTAACCGCTCCTCTTCCTGATAATTGCATATTTTGATAACCGTGTACCTGGGCGAGCTCCTCCCAGGGTAATTCCCACGGCAACCGCTCCTCTTCCTGATAATTGCATATTTTGTTTACGTTGCGCACCTGACGAAATTCACACCTGGAAGAGACGTAGTTTCAGTTTCCTCCTGCGGCAAAGGAAAACTTTTGATTCTCTCTTTATATCTTCTTTAAAGAGCGCGTACACAAGAGGATTTAAAGTAGAATTGGCCAATTGGAGCAAATTTGCTGCTGCTAGTTCATGGTCAGACACAGTACAAAGATTGGAGAGAAAGCAGATTGTCTCATGGATTTCTATTCCGTAACATGCTATAAATATAACAACAAGTGCAGTCACCAACCACACGGTGGACGCTTTTAATCCAACATTTCTTACTTCCATTATTCTCACCGAGTTTGCCGCTATGTTAAATCTAACCTGTTTCAAAAGAACTTTCATCTCCCGAGAGAGTTTGCAAGCAATCAATAGGATATGAAGATGTGCCGCCAATAGAAGTATTGTTGGTAAAACTAGGAAGAGTGCTGTGTAAATAGCAACGAATATAAGTGTTCCTTCAGCGGATTCCTCTACGCTGGCAAGATAGGAGATGCCTTCATAAACGGCTAAAAGAAACGGAATTCCCCAACAGTTCGCAATAACGATTATTATGTTTGTAGTCGTCAATAAACGGACGTATTTCAACGAATGTACGATAGCGATATAACGTTCTCCAACCATAGCGGTCAAACAAAGGGCAGAAGCTTCTATGAAGAAGAAAGCGATTTCTAGGCGAATGTCGTTGCTGCATGTCTCCACAAGCACATTGCAAACCATGGATGCGGGAAAATATCCGCATGTTACACCTAGATCGGCCACAGCAAGGGAAAGGATAAACCAGTTGGCTTTTGTCTGCAATCTTCTACTTTTCATGATAATGAAAATAATCCAGCTGTTTCCCACTAGACCAAAGAAAGTGAAAAACCAACCAACGATCCAATCAAAATCCATTCTCTACTGGCTTTGACTCTGAATCTGGATGAAAATGTACTGGCGACTAGGAATGGAAGCACAGATGTTTCACGGTGCAACTCGAGAGAGATCTCATTTAATACAAGTCTGTGCGCCGCCGGCTATAGAGTAAAAGAAATCTTTTAGATGCTATTTGAAAAAACAGTCAAACAAAGGAAGTCCTTTTTTCACGGGCGTATTGCCCTTAGGCAGCCACTCAATTAATGACACTCATTGACATTACTGTTATATTTTTGGAAACATTTTGTATATTCGCGTCTTTGCATTAAAGAAGATACCCGTGTTTAGACATCACTTTTGTTATCCATGGATAAAACCATTACTTTTAATGAAACTCTGAGTGCAGCTGGATACAGAGTTAAAAGGCATGATTTAAAAACCGTTTTAATTCACCTAAAATCAACTTATGCTTATCAGCAAATTACTCTCTAATAGCTTCCCTCATAAGAGCAAAAATTTTTACAGATATTTTGTGCAAATCTTGACACGAATGGCTAAAACTTGTAAAATGATAGAGAACAAACCCGTTTCAAGGCATCAGATTTGATATTTAACAAATTTACTGCACATTTACTGACATATTTTTTAAAATTTAGCTTGCAAAACATAATTTTTATGATACAATACATTTGCTAGTGTTGTGAGGCATTTTGAAGGACTGTTATTTTGAGTCCTTTTTCTTTGTTAAGTCTTGGCTAAGTGTTATTTTGGTAGTTTTATAGTTTTGATCTTTTATTTTTGGTATGTACTTGAACTTGGCTCAGTTCGCAGACTCCCTTTTTACCGTGTTAGACATTTTGATCGCTTGTTGTGGTTGGGAATAATTTGTTTCGTAGGTGCAGTGGTCATGTTTGGGTTGGTAAAGCTGACCTTGAGTTTTGCCCACACTAGAGTTCCTGTTTGCGTGCGCGATTCTTGTGCGCAGCTCGATCATTGGCGTTTAAATTGGTTCCTTGATTCTCGCCGAGTACTTCGGAGAGAGCCACCCATTTCCCCCCTCTACAAAATACCCATTTTTTTCTGTCTCCGTATACTCTGCGAGCTTTTCATGAAAACAGAATATTCTTTTTATGGTCTTTACGCTGATACTGGTGGTAGTAAAATACACATGTTGCGGAGTGCACCGAGGAACAAGAAACTCGTTCACCAAACATTACTGAGGCAAATAGTGGTCAACCTGTCTTTTGTACTGAATACACTTGTTAGAAAAATTAACGTTAAATCCGATGACCTAAACAGTCAAAGATCGTAAAAGAAACGTACTATGACTAGGGTTTAAAAAAAAAAATTTCTTGTTTTATTCTTAATCTGTAATCTGCACTGCTGGAGGAAACTCACTTTACATCTTCTGAATGTAGATTAACTTTGAGAGAATGTAGTTTTAAGTGCCTCTTCCGGCAAAGAAGAGCTTTTGATTCTTCCATGATACCTTCTTTAAGGAACGCGTACACAAGAGGTTTTGATTAAGAATTGGCGAAAGGCAACAAATAAATGCTGTTAGTCTATGTTCAGAGTAATAACATCGAACAGAAGTAGGTGGAAGCAGGTCGAGATGTGGATTCCACCATAATCCACCACATGTCAAGCACAGTCACCCACCTCAGATTGTAGAGAATTTAATCCTAGGTTTCTCCTTGTAGAGTATAGCCATTCCATCATACTGTCACTTTGATTGTTGCGACCAGCATTGCTAGACTTCTCACGTTTTGTATCAGGGTAGAAGTTTGTTTTAAATGCGTTTTGTAGTCAAGCAAACCTTTGGATTCCTTTTTCATGTCCTCTTTGATAAGCGTCCACACAAGTGAATTTATGACCGAGCACATCGTGGAATTGTTGTTTGAGTACAGAAACCGTTCTGTAGCTACACACTGCATCTTCTCTCATCATAAGTCAAACGTTCTGGGCTAAATTTAGGCTAATTGATAAAGTTCACTTGTGTGTTTTAACTATTTCTTTTCTTGTAGTCACCAATGCTGTAAGGAGTTCCAATCCCTTCTTTCTACTCTGAATGACCTCGGAAGAGACGTACGTTAAGGCACCTCATGCGGTTCATTAAAGCTTTTGATTCTCTCTTGATATCTTCTTTAAAAATTGCATACACAAGAGGATTCAACGTAGAATTGGCAAAAAACAGCAAATTTGCAACCACAAGTTCAAACTCTGACGGATCACAGACATATAAGTAAAAGCAAATTGACAGATGGATTTCTATTCCGTAACATGCAATGAATATGATAATAATTACAGATGTTAAACTCACAGTGGATGTTCTTAATCCCACATTTCTAGCTTCCACTATTTTCACCGAGTTTGCCACAGCGTTAAATCTTATCTGTTTCAGAAGAATTTGCATATCCCGAGAGAGTTTTCGAGCCGTTATAATGATTTGAAAATGTACCGAGAGTACAAATATTGTTGGTAACACTACGAAGAGCACTCTATGAATTAACACAAATGTCCGCGTTTCTGCAGCGAAACGCCCGCTGCTTGCGAGATAGATGAGTTGACAAATGGCCAAAAGAAATGGAAATGCCCAACAACTCGCAATGATAATGACTTTCCTGGTAGTCGTCAGGACACTAAGGTATTTCAACGGATGAACAATAGCAATGTAGCGTTCTGCAACCATGGCGATCAAGCAAATGGCAGAAACATCTCGAAAGAAGTAGAGGACTATATGAGGAATGTCGCCTGTACATTCAACATCATCGCCCACTTCGCAGATCATAACTGCCGGAAAATATGCACATGTAACACATACATCGGCCACCGCCAGGGAAAGGATGAACCAGTTGGCTGTTGTCTGCAACCGTCTTCTCTTTGCGATAATGAATATAACCCAGCTGTTTCCAACCAGACCGAAAAAAGAGAAAAAACAACCAAGAATCCAATCAGTATGCATCTTCTGCAGGCTGCTAGACTGAATCTGGATTCGATAGTGAAATTTTTTTTCTACTTGGAGTGTTGATAGATGCAGAGATGCTTAATTTAGCGGGTTTCAGAATGCAATTCGAAAGTGATCTCTTCAAATAAAAGTCTGCGCGGATGGCGACTAAATGTTAAGATATAATTTACATGATTAATTAATTTTTTCGTCACCAGCTAATTGCCCCTTGGCAGTCCTCCCACTGAAACAAATAGGGAGACATATTTCAAAATAATCGAGACATTAGGTTAAAAAATAAGTTTTAACTCATCCTCTATTTGTCAAACAGTGAGACTTATTGTTTATTTGTCACAGATCATGGAAGCTGGAAAGTATCTAATGGTGTCAAACAGATCAGCCACCGCTACGGAAAGGATGAAGCAGTTTGTTTTGTCTGTAATCATCTTTTCGCGATGATTGAAATAATTCAAATGTTGGCAACTGAACAAGACTGACTAACTTTAACTGGCGTGGTAGATCTCCAAGAAGAATGATATCGTTGTAATATCTTTTACTTCATTTGTAATTCAAGTTCGCTTTAACTTTTAACTCATATACAATTTGCCAGCGCGAAGCTAACCAGTGAGACTTATGTTATATTTTATTGCACACCTGCTATAACGGACTTAAGACGTCCTACTTCACATTACTAAAAAGTGTGCTACACCACACTAAGTACTCCAAAAACATACAGTATATTTGTCCAGCTCTATATGTATTTCTGTGTGTTTTTTTACTCGATAAGCGAATATGCATTATGTTTAAGGAAAGTGTCCATAAATGTGTCCCAGTGTGGATCTGATAATGAAAACTAACTTTTACTGGCGCCTTCAAGAATAGACACCTAAGTATTGTTTAATTTTTAATCAATGTTCGCTTCTACATTATTTATCCCTTTTTCATCACTCAATTGTTGTTTGACAGCCTCTCTGTTAATAACAAGAGCTGATATATTTTAGCACTGTTTCTACATTTTCGAGCCTTATTGTTGTCACGGAAGTCCACAAGCTTGCAAAATGATAGAGAACCTACCTATTTTAGCACATCACTTTTTGTATTCGAATTTATTATATGCGGTGCCTGTAGAAAATACAAAACGAATAGCATGCTGGTAGGCTATTTATAGCTAAGCCGAAACGTGAGAATTTCCTTTTTTTATTTCAACATTTGTACATATAGAATATATACATGTGATAGAACAAAAGGATACAGCATCCCCTACAAGGTTCAAACACCTTACCCAACCCCATAAACCTAAAAACAAAACACATATATGACTAAATAAAAGCATCTTAACAAGGATATGCGTTTCTTTTATTCACTCTTCTGCATTTCGAACAAATAATCTTGTACGAGCGAATATTATACCGACTAAAAACATAATGCAAACGCCAGAAGAAAAAAGATTTGAGCTTGCGCTTAAAGTCCAGGGAAGTAGCTAACTTAATGTCATCAGGAATACTATTCCACAAAATGATAATTGTTTTGAAGAAAAAACCACGGAAAAGTGAGGTGCGAGTTCTGTTTGTTCTAAGATAAAGTTCAGAACTAGCTCGGCGAGAGCACCCCATTAGAAGAAGCATTTTCTTCAAAATTGCATATCACAATTAAAACAGGGATATGAAATACATATGAAATAAAAAGAGAAGGGGGGAAATTACTGACTTCGAAAGATGTTGCACAGGTTTTTCCTTTTTTATTTACAGTTGGTGTGGTAGATCTCCCTAATGAATAAGCATGCTTCACTGTCGTTTACTTCATTTGTAATTCAAGTTCACATTAGCGGATCAGCGAGGCTGTCGACACACCTGCTATTAATGGACTAAACACTTCCTGCTTAAAAAAAAAATGTGCTACATCACTCTAAGTCCATTAAAAATATATAGTGTATTCGTCCATCTCTACATGAATTTCTGTGTGATATTGAATTCGAAAGGCACGTATACATAAGAAATTTATTCAAAATCAAGCTGCTCTATAACGCTAATTTTATTCTTACTTAAGACGAAACAAAGACGCGAAGTTAAGAACATAGAATAACGAAGATCACAAAAGCATTCATTTTTCATTTCCAAATTTTCCAAAAAAATTATTTTTGCAATTAAACTCTCCACATACAATTATCTTATAACCTCTCGCCATTTCAGGAAGTTTCCCTATATTTTCCGTGACAGCCACGGTAAAATAAACGCGACATTTGTATTAAATTTCTCATAACTTATTTGTTCCCGCTCATTTTACTAGTGCTTTGTAGTCAAAAGTTAGAATAATATTTGGGGAACACCAATCCACCTTTTACTTTTCCTTGATGTATTGCCTAAAGGTGATCCACTTCCATGCTATACTTTGAAAAGAAGAGCAATGCTATTGTGACAAGGAATATGGAGGGACGAAAAGGGGTTTGGTTGATCAAAGTGCTTTGACAGCATTTATTGAAAACTAAAATGATGTATCACTCCAATGAATGACAACAGTAGAAATATTCAGTAAAATCGATGTTATTTCCAAATTAATAATGGCTGATAGTTTCGAAAGAAACTGTTTGGGGCTGCGTCGGTGGGAGTAACAAAATAACTTGGATATATCAACAAAGTTGAAGTGGTAAATTGGCCACCGTAACGATTACAAAAGCTGGCGTTTCGAGCGTTTGCCCTTCGTCGGAGCTCTGACGAAGGGCTAACGCTCGAAACGCCAGCTTTTGTAATCGTTACGGTGGCCAATTTACCACTTCAACTTTGTTGATATATCCAAGTTATTTTGTTACTCCCACCGACGCAGCCCCAAACAGTTTCTTTCGAAACTATCAGCCATTATTAATTTGGAAATAACATCGATTTTACTGAATATTTCTACTGTTGTCATTCATTGGAGTGATACATCATTTTAGTTTTCAATAAATGCTGTCAACGCAATTTGATCAACCAAACCCCTTTTCGTCCCTCCATATTCCTTGTCACAATAGCATTGCTCTTCTTTTCAAAGTATAGCATGGAAGTGGATCACCTTTAGGCAATACATCAAGGAAAAGTAAAAGGTGGATTGGTGTTCCCCAAATATTATTCTAACTTTTGACTACAAAGCACTAGTAAAATGAGCGGGAACAAATAAGTTATGAGAAATTTAATACAAATGTCGCGTTTATTTTACCGTGGCTGTCACGGAAAATATAGGGAAACTTCCTGAAATGGCGAGAGGTTATAAGATAATTGTATGTGGAGAGTTTAATTGCAAAAATAATTTTTTTGGAAAATTTGGAAATGAAAAATGAATGCTTTTGTGATCTTCGTTATTCTATGTTCTTAACTTCGCGTCTTTGTTTCGTCTTAAGTAAGAATAAAATTAGCGTTATAGAGCAGCTTGATTTTGAATAAATTTCTTATGTATACGTGCCTTTCGAATTCAATATCACACAGAAATTCATGTAGAGATGGACGAATACACTATATATTTTTAATGGACTTAGAGTGATGTAGCACATTTTTTTTTTAAGCAGGAAGTGTTTAGTCCATTAATAGCAGGTGTGTCGACAGCCTCGCTGATC